AGGCGGGGGGCAGGGGCATGGGCGGGATTCGTCGTTGAAGTAGATGCTGAAGACCACTGTTGTGGTAGGGTCATTCTTTGGTGGGGGCTCTAAGGCCCCCCCCCCCCCCCCCCCCCTCCCCCCCCCCCCTCCGAGCGTCCTTTTGTGAATGGGTCAGATTAACAGAGGAAGAATTCACAGCAACCATTGGTAAGGTTATAACATTTTGATTTAATGGCAAAAGATACAATAACACAACTTCACGAAGTAATCTGGATTACCCCGGCCCTGTCCTCCCGCTGGGAACTCTTACTTACTCGTATTGGCAGCAGGAGGAAAGAGAGCGAACACCAGGACTCAACAGGAGATATACAAGAATAAAACAGGAGGGGTTGGGTCAGCTGGTCATCTTTTCAGGTCATCTCATTGGGAGATGCAAAAGATGCTGTGTCGCAGCGAATCAGCGCGTGCCAGCAGAGATGATCCGGAAAACTAGAGTCTCAGTTTGATGCAAAACAAACACATCTGGCATTTGCCGTCTCATATTTCTGCAGCTTCCACACACACATCTTATCATGTAGCTTATCACACAACAGTCATATGTTTTCCTTTATGAAAGCCATACTTGTTGGGAATTAACAGTCATCATCTCATGACCTCCTCAGGACCAGCTAACCAACAAAGCTTAACTGTCCTCATACCCCCAGGCCATCTCTGAAATTCCCTCCACCCGAAGTCAACTCTCCCAGAATCAGAAGGACCATTGTCTCTCTAATTGTGTGTGACCCAATCGTCTCCTGCTCTTTTAGGAGTCTTGAAATGAACGCACATACATTTCTCTCACTAACTAACACTTAACATCCCATATATCAGGTGACATAAAAATGAATATACCAGAATTACGCTGTATTAAACTTTTTGCTATAATACTTTACATCAATTTCCACACCACAAAGAAGTCTTGCATTTCGCATGTGATGTTTGTAAAGTCGTCCCTTGTAAAGTCGTCCGATGCCTTCCATGTCGTTTCGTAAGAGGATAACCAAAGCGAACAGCGCTTCAATACAATCAGCCATTGTTGTTGTTGTTGTCGATGTGAGGGATTTCCGCGCGGTTTGGATTTTATGAAGCAGGCACGTAAACGGTGACGTCATGACGCAGCAGCGGCAGCTCTGGGCGGTGTGAACAGAGCGGGAGCAGAAAAGGGAAACCGGAGCTGAACCAGTCCTCGGCCGCCTACGGGGCAGCCGAGGACAAAAAATACACATGCGTTAATTGCGTTAAAATAATTAGTGGTGTTAATTTTTTTTTTGCGTTATTAACGCGTTAACTTGACAGCCCTAATATATATATATATGTCATCATGAACACATCTGTCCATCAGACAGAGTGCTGCTGTGCCTCCTGTCATCATTAATGGATGTCTCTTTAAAATGACCGCTCAGAGGAGACGAGTTCTCATCTCTCTCTAACCGCCTGCTGCTTCCCCTCCTCTCTCCTCGGTTCCCCTCCTCAGTCCTCCGCTCGCATCTCCTGTGGGCGGGACTAAGTCTCGAGGATAGGAGTCGAGGAGGGGAAATTTGAGTATTGAGAAACCTCTATTGGCTCCTTTATCATTAACAAAGCATTTGTCCAGTATATTGTCTTTCCTGCTGTGATCCCTAACATACAGCTGGAACCCAGGTAACACAGTCTCCAGGCAACATTGCTTCATCTCCCAGAGCACTATTGCCGGTGCATCGGTGGCTGAGTTGTAGCTCGTGAACACACTGTCCTCTGCCGCTGGGAGGCACGTAAACAACAAACAGTAAAATACACCCGAATTCTCTAGGCAGATAAAAGGGTCTTAACGTCATGCCAATAATTTCTACGTTGGGATCACAGGTTTTACATTTACTGAGTATGATCGGCACCACAGATAATTAATATACACACAAATACACACATCTCATCAACGTTGCGTGGAAGTCGGAAACAGTACCGAAGGAGTGGCAGACCGGGGTGGTGGTTCCCCTTTTAAAAAGGGGGATCAGAGGGTGTGTGCCAATTACAGAGGCATCACACTACTCAGCCTCCCCGGGAAAGTTTACTCTAAGGTACTCGAAAGGAGGGTCAGGCCGATTGTCGAACCTCAGATTGAGGAGGAACAATGCGGATTCCGTCCTGTTCGTGGAACGACGGATCAGCTTTTTACTCTCACAAGGATCCTGGAGGGGGCCTGGGAGTACGCTTATCCGGTCTACATGTGTTTTGTAGACTTGGAGAAGGCGTATGACCGAGTTCCCAGGGAGTTACTGTGGGAGGTGCTGCGGGAGTATGGGGTGAGGGGGTCTCTACTCAGGGCCATCCAATCTCTGTACTCCCAAAGCGAGAGCTGTGTCCGGGTCCTCGGCAGTAAGTCGGACCCATTTCCGGTGAGGGTTGGCCTCCGCCAGGGCTGCGCTTTGTCACCAATCCTGTTTGTAATATACATGAATCGGATTTCGAGGCGTAGTCGTGGGGGAGGGGGTCTGCAGTTCGGTGGACTAAGGATTGCACCACTGCTTTTTGCAGATGATGTGGTTCTAATGGCTTCATCGGTCTGCGACCTTCAGCACTCACTGGATCGGTTCGCAACCGAGTGTGAAGCGGCTGGGATGAGGATCAGCACCTCCAAATCTGAGGCCATGGTTCTCAGCAGGAAACCGATGGACTGTCCACTTCAAGTAGGGAATGAGTCCTTACCCCAAGTGAAGGAGTTCAAGTATCTCGGGGGCTTGTTCTCGAGTGAGGGAACAATGGAGCGTGAGATGGGCCGGAGAATCGGAGCAGCGGGAGCGGTACTGCAGTCGCTTTACCGCACCGTTGTGACGAAAAGGGAGCTGAGCCAGAAGGCAAAGCTCTCTGTCTACCGGGCCATTTTCGTTCCTACCCTCACCTATGGTCATGAAGGATGGGTCATGACCGAAAGAACGAGATCGCGGATACAAGCGGCCGAGATGGGTTTTCTCCGCAGGGTGGCTGGTGTCTCCCTTAGGGATAAGGTGAGAAGTTCAGTCATCAGGGAGGGACTCGGAGTTGAGCCGCTCCTCCTTCGCGTCGAAAGGAGCCAGTTGAGGTGGTTCGGGGCACCTAGTTAGGATGCCACCTGGGCGCCTCCCTAGGGAGGTGTTCCAGGCACGTCCAGCTGGGAAGAGACCAAGGGGTAGACCTAGGACCAGGTGGAGGGATTATATCTCTTCGCTGGCCTGGGAGCGCCTTGGGATCCCCCAGTCAGAGCTGGTTGATGTCGCCAGGGAAAAGAAAGTTTGGGGCTCTCTGCTGGAACTGCTACCCCCACGACCCGACCACGGATAAGTGGGAGAAGATGGATGGATGGACAAATACCGCCTCCTCTGGTTTTCCCCGAGTTCGCATCACTGTCTGCTCGAACAAGGGTGAGTCCGGGTACTTCAAAGAGATTCAGGCTTTGTAGATTGTAGCCAACTTTCCGTGAAACATAATAAAGAGGCCTCAAGAAATTCATGACAGTACCTTGTGTATGTCCTTAGTGTGTCCACGTTGTGGCTCAATGAGCACAGGTTTTGTGAGAATGATGGAATGGAAGTGGTGGCCGGCTGAATCTCCGCCGTAGGCGATTCTGAACGCCTCCCCTCCTTCCTCATCTCTTTTCCTGGTGTTCTAAGCGGCTCCCGAGGGATTTCATCCAATATTGAAGAGCACAGGTGGCTTGGTGTATTCGTAGGAAGCCCGATCGCATTGTAGCTCTAGCATAGCCTCGCTATGTAGCAGCGTAGAGGCCGGGGCTCCCTCGCCTGTTCGTGCTTGTCACTCAGGTGTGTCTTGGAAAGTTGAATGGCATGGCCAGACATGGTCTGCAGAAGGCAAACGTAATCCACAGGATCAAAAGCATGGTCTCTCAAAATGACGTTTCATACAGACAACACAAAGTTTAGAGAATAATTAGACCACTAAAACAAGACGAGCGGTGTGTGTGTGTGAATGTGGTGTGTGTGTGTGTGTGTGTGTGTGTGTGTGTGTGTGTGTGTGTGTGTGTGTGTGTGTGATGTGTGTGTGTGTGTGTGTGTGTGTGTGTGTGTGTGTGTGTGTGTGTGTGTGTGTGTTTGTGTGTGTGTGTGTTGTGTGTGTGGTGTGTGTGGTGTGTGTGTGTGTGTGTGTATGTTGTGTGTGTGTGTGTGTGTTGTGTGTGTGTGTGTGTTTAAAACGTAGCAGCCTGCGGTCGCTCGTTAGCTGTTCTAATGAAGGTACACACAGTGAAGGCACAGCTCTTTGCAGCTGGTGCTGCTCTTCTGAGATTCTGCTGAGTTACACGTTACTGCCTCCTGGTGCTGCAGAGATTTCATGAAGTGAAGGAGGTTTTTCTTCTATAAAACAGCTGTGGGCAGCAGATACTGTGAGTCACAGACATGAATACATAGGTCAAGGCAGACTGGTTCACAGACTCTCCTGTTTTGCCGATCTGGTGCTTGAACAAATAACTCTACACCCCTGGCTGAAATGTCCCTAAAATGAAGTCCGAGTTTGAAATGTATCTCAAATAATGTATGTATTTCCCCACACAAACATAACAGTCTGCAATGAAACGGCTGTCTCCTGTGCGCTCCACTTCCTACTTTCTCCTGCGAACGAGAGACTTTCTCTCTCTTTTTTTTTTCTTTCATTGCCCTCTAGGGGCTTCGTACAATGCAAATATTTTATTTTAAAAAGTAAAGTCCTTTCGAGTCATCTGTCTCAAGCCTAAGTCAAGTCTCAAGTCATGAATACGAAGTCAAGTCGAGTCTTTTATCAATGTTAGTCAAGAAAGTCTCAAGTCAAAAAATATGTCAAGTCATGTGACTCGAGTCCCCCATCTCTGGTATATTTGGTTAGAATATTACTGTATCAAATATAATAAACACAAACAGTTGATAAGTAGTATTTTGTTAACTCAAGGTTTATATTAAGTGAGTTTTTATTGTGTTGACTTGTGTATTTATGCTTTTTAGATTGACTTTATCTCTTTCTCTGTCCGTCTGTTCTAGAAACCGAAAGGAAGAGAGAGACGTCACAGCTGTCAGCAATGTCACAAATCCTTTACAACATCTGGACATTTAAAGAGCCACCTGCTTATTCACACAGGAGAAAAACCTTACAGCTGTGAAGAGTGTGGGTCAACTTTCACTTCATCAGGTACTCTCAAATCACATCACCGTATTCATACTGGAGAAAAACCGTATAGCTGTGAAGAGTGTGGGAAAAGTTTCACTCAATCAAGTGCTCTCAAATCACATCAACGTATTCATACTGGAGAAAAACCTTACAGCTGTAAAGAATGTGGGACAACTTTCACTAGATCAGATGCTCTCAAATCACATCAACTTGTTCATACTAGAGAAAAACCTTACAGCTGTGAAGAGTGTGGGACAACTTTCACTACATCAGGTCATCTCAAATCACATCACCGTATTCATACTGGAGAAAAACCGTACTGGTGTGAAGAGTGTGGGACAACTTTCTCTCAATCAGGTGATCTCAAAACACATCAACGTATTCATACTGGAGAAAAACCGTACAGCTGTGAAGAGTGTGGGAAAAAGTTCACTACATCAAGTGATCTCAAAGCACATCAACGTATTCACACTGGAGAAAAACCGTACTGGTGTGAAGAGTGTGGGAAAATGTTCACTACATCAGGTGTTCTCAAATCACATCAACGTATTCATACTGGAGAAAAACCTTACTGGTGTGAAGAGTGTGGGACAACTTTCACTCAATCAGGTGCTCTTAAAACACATCAACGTATTCATACTGGAGAAAAACCGTACGGGTGTGAAGAGTGTGGGAAAACGTTCACTAGATCAGGTGCTCTCAAATCACATCTTCGTGTTCACACACTCTTAAAACCATAGTGGTGTTAAGAGTGTGGGAAAACTTTTTCTTAAAGTATTCACCTTAAAGTCCATGAGCGAGTTTCACTGTTCATTAATCTGCAGAGTAGTTTCTCCAATAATCTGTTTGTTTAATAAAATGTTGTGACTTTAAACTTTGATTGGGATGTTTTTGATAGTTCCTGTTGAGTTAGCAGTCTGTTCTGGTCTAAAAGAGCCATTCATGTATCTAGAACACATTTACGATGTTTTCAGTTTGATCCTATTCTCTTGTTAAAATGGACAGACTACCAAAAATAAAATGGCCTTAGAAACAGACTCGTAACCCTGCATATCTGTTGTGTTTTGCAGCATATTATAAACATGTCATTCCCTTATTTTCAAATACCACAGGTTGTGTAGTGATGTATTTGAGGTGTACTGTCAAATAAAATAAAATAAAAGTTTATTTATAAAGCACGTTTAAAAGTGATTTTTGGTCGGGCTGTACATGTAATAAATACTACAATCACATAAAAACACATTACTACAATCACAATAAATTACAACAGATATATAAAAAACACAGGGAAAAGTCAGGAGTCGTGCTCCGCTCTGACTAAAAGGCCAGGGAGAAGAAGTGTGTTTTTAAGAGTAGATTTAAAAACCCCTAGGGTCTGGGCCGACCTCACATGGAGGGGCAGAGTGTTCCAGAGCCTGGGGCCAGCTGGTGTGAAGGCTCAGTGCCCTCTGGTTTTGAGCCTGGTCTTGGGCACTATCAGCAGCAGCTGGTCAGCAGACCTTAAAGCTCTGGCTGGGGTGTAGCGCTGGAGGAGTTCAGCTATATAGGCTGGAGCCAGCCCATTTAGTGCTTTAAAAACAAATAAAAGGAGTTTAAAATCAATTCGGAACCGAATTGGAAGCCATTGCAGTGAGGCCAGAATTGGGGTGATGTGGTCACGCTTTTTGTGGTCAGTCAGAAGATGTGCAGCTGCGTTCTGCACTAGCTGCAGGCGTTGAATTGACGCCTGGTCCATACCCACGTACAGAGCGTTGCAGTAATCCAACCTCGAGATAACAAAGGCGTTAATAACCCTTTCCAGGTCTTTAAAAGATAAAAACGACTTGGTCTTGGCCAATAGTCGTATTTTAAAAAAAAAAAAAAAAAAAAAAAAAAAGCAGGTTTTGACTACGCTGCTGACCTGCTTATCGAATTTAAAAGCGCTATTGAAGGTCACTCCATGGTTCGTGACAGAGGGGAGGATATTATTTTTGAGGGAGCCCAGAATATCAACCTAGGAGGCTGGAGGTTGGGGTCCAAAAAAGATAATCTCAGTCTTACTCTCATTGAGGTTGAGGAAATGTTGGCTCAGCCAGGATTTGATCTCTGTCAAGCAGTCCATCAATAGCTGTAATGAGTTGACATTTAAATTGAGTGGCAGATAGATCCGTACATCGTCGGCGTGGAAGGGGATGTTGTGGTTTGTGAGAATTGAACCTAGGGGCAGTATGTACAGTAGAAAAAGGATGGGGCCCAGAATCGAGCCTTGGGGAACCCCACAGGTAAGAGGGGCTTTGGCAGAGGAGAAGGCACCTAGCTGCACTGAGAAGCTACGGTCTGTCAGGTAGGACCTGAACCATGCAAGGGCAATGGGTTTGAAGCCAGACTGAAACTTTTCATGGATGCCATGAATGGTTAAAAAAGACTGCAGCTGGACGTAGACTACTCGCTCCAGGGCTTTAGATAAAAAAGGTAGCTAGGAGATAGGGCTGCACGGTATTGAAAAAAACTGACATCGCGATTTCCCCCCCCCCCCCCTGAGGTATATATTGCGGTTTTTTAACCTGTTAAACCCCAAAGTTCCGGCGGGTACTTTACTTTTTTCTTTCACGACAGTGTCTCAGGGGATCGTAATATTTAAGAACCTATTAATGTGTTATACCAGATTAACGGAAATAATCTCAGCTAACTGACGATACAAACCATTTTATACCAAAACAAAACCCAAGTCTCATAAGAAGCATCTAAATGACCCCTGAGCGAAAAATGCTAACGCACTTTGGCACAGAACTCAAGATAAAAGTACCCTTATTACTTATCGTAGCTGCACATACAAGATATCCGATTAAAGCTGAGGTTCCACAGATTATTTAGGTATATAGTATCATCACTGAGTGATCTGAACTCGGACAGGGGAAGCAAACACAGACATCACAACACGTACCTTTACGTAGCTTCTAGGGGAGATGTCTCACCGTAGCTGTCAATCTGATCAAAAGACGTGTTCAATGGCATTAAACCGAGAAAGAAAAAACGCGGCTGAATCGGTTAATCCATAGGTTTTTAACGTCTCTGTATAAAAAAATGATTTCATTTATAATCCATAATTCCATTTTTATGTAAATATCGCAGAGCAAAAGTTAGCTGCTAATGGTAGCTACCAGAGTGGCTGCTGCTTCCGGTCTTGGCAATGCGGAAGTCTCACACACACACATTACCAAATAAGGACTGTGTGATTTCCCCTCGATTCCATTGGCTCTGACGGTCAAAACGAGATGTCACATGTCAAAATCCAGCAAGGTGGGCCAGAGATATGGAAAATCCACCCAAATGGCCCCAAAAGAGGTTTTCTTTTGTGCTAAATCTGTCTAAAAAGGTCAAATATCAGGGGAAGTTCTACACACACCAACACATGAACAAATAAGGAGTGAGAGTGACGACGCGTAGCCATAACCGGAAGCTGCATACCACCAAGGTGGCTACCATTAGCAGCTAACTTTTGTGTTCCGATTTTTACATAACAATGGAATTATGGATTATAAACAATTGCTTAAAAGCCACAGATACATTATCAACCTATGATCCATAGGTTGATAATGTATCTGTGGCTTTGAAGCAACCGATTCAGCCGCGTTTTTTCTTTCTCGTTGTAATGCCATTGAACACGTATTTTGATCAGATTGACAGCTACGGTGAGACGATCTCCCGTAAAAGCTCCGTAAAAGGTACGTGTTGTGATGTCTGTGTTTGCTTCCCCTGTTGCGAGATCGGATCGCTTAGATATTAAACTTAAATAATCTGTGGAGTCTCAGCTTTAATCGGATATATTGTATGTGCAGTTTCGATAAGTAATAAGGGTATCTTTATTTTGAATTCTGTGATAAAGTGCGTTAGTATTTTTTTTTTTTTAAATGAATAAAACCGCACGTCCCTGCGGTGTGAATACCGCGCATGCGCATACCGCGGTTATCGCCATGACACGGTATATCGGTCAGCCCTACTGGGAGATGGGCCTAACATTTTCGAGAATGGAAGGGTCGAGATTTTTCTTTTTAAGTAGTGGCTGCACCACCGCATGTTTGAAGGCAGCTGGGACACATCCTGAGCTAAGAGAGGTATTTATAAGTAATAAAATACTTGTTCCAACTGATTCGAAAACATCTCTGATACCTCATTCACACCAACAGTGTTTCAGGGCCGGTTCGGAGCTGGAGCTTGAAAAGCACCGGGTTTTCCTTTTCACACCGCAGCGGAGCAGCCTCTTAGCTCCGGAATCCGGTTCGTTTCAAGCACCAAAAAATTGTCCGGCCAGAGCAAAAGCACCACATACGTCACGCTTACGTCGAGGCAGGGGCAGGGGCAGATCAACTCCTGAACAACAACAAGAAGCCCGCATTTTATCCAGTTTGTACACAACGATGAAGAAACGTAACAAGCAGCAGTGGAAGAGCACTGAAGAGACCAGCTACCTACTAGGAATCTGGTCTTCCGAAGAGGTACAGAGGAAGCTGGAGCACAATCGGCCATTGTTGTTTTTGTCTGTGTCAGCTGTGAGGGGTTTCCGCACGGTTTGGCTTTATGAAGCAGGCACGCAAACGGTTGCGTCATGACGCAAACGATGACGCAATGACGCAGTGTGAAAAGAGCCGGAGCTAAACCGAAGAACCGGTTCTGAATCTGAAAAGCTCTAGCACGGAGCTTGAACCGGAGTTGCGTTGGTGTGAATGAGGTATGAGAAGGCGAGAGGGAATGCTGTCTGAGGTGCAGTTTGTTGGCCGCAGGTGCATGACTACATCCAAGAGAGAAGAGAGGGATACAGGCTCAAAGTGGTCGAGGACAGCAGGGCACAGAAAAGGAGCAGGATCTGGGGTAGCACTAGTGTGGGCTAGCCTAAGTGCAGATACTTTTTCAATAAAAAATGTAAAAAACTTATCACAGAGTAGTCGATGGCACAATTGGAGAAACATCACAGGGATTAATGATCGAGTTGATGACATTAAAAAGAACCTGAGGTTTATGGCTGTTTTTGGAGATTAACAGATACATGTGCTCTGTTTTGGCTGCTTTGACTGCCGTCTGGTAGTCGGAAAGGCAAGCACGAAGGATTTCTAAGGAGACATGGAGTTGATCCTTTTTCCATGTTCTCTCTGCACGCCTGCAAGCGCGTCTGAGAGCATGAGTACAGTCATTGAGCCACGGCTCTGAGAGAACTTTGGTGCGTCTAAGCGTAAAAGCAGCAACAGAATCCAGTATTAGGCTACATGTCGAGTCAAACATGGAGATAAGCTCATCAGCACTAAAAACATAGTTCACCTCTAATTTATAGATCGGAGAAGAAGCATTAAAAACATCAGAGAACTGTGAGGCAGTCAAGGGGTTTATTGAACGCAGACGACGCGCAGGGGCACGTGATTCGACTCCTGTGGAAGGGATCGAGGTTGTAAATAGAACCAGTAAATGGTCTGAGATACGCATTGCTGCACATATTTCATCCACAGATACAGACAGTCCAAACGATCCTTAATATTGGGCTATAAAGGAACTACAGCACGGTCACATGACTCCACGTCACCACCGCTAAGCTAAAGGCGGCTAATGTTGGGCTATAAAGGAACTACAGCACGGTCACATGACTCCACGTCACCACCGCTAAGCTAAAGGCGGCTAATGTTGGGCAATAAAGGAACTACAGCACGGTCACATGACTTCACGTC